AGATCGTTGTGGGTAGTTGTAGGTGGTTGTAGGTCGTTCCTCATTTTAGCTACGATTTTTTACCTTCATTATCGAACTTCCGATAAATTATCGTTCAAAGGTCATCTTCAACAGAGCCATACTTGTTTCAAGCATAAGTTTCATCAATTTATTAAGTCATTCAAGACTGTAGATTCTTTGTTTTTAATCTCTCTCAATCTAACTGCTAGCATGGTCTTGGTTTCGAAATGTCCACACTTTTAGTCGACAAAAGAACTTCGCATAGATCATCCCTGCTTTTTCCCATATTGGTCCATATTATTGAAGTATTTCCAATAAAGTATCATCTCTTTCTTGTTGTCGAAATATCAAAGTAAAATCCTTTTTTCTAATATCACTTTTAAGATGGGCCTAAATTGCTTTTCATCTTCGCAAATCGATTTCCCGGATGTGCGGACGCGTCAAAGTTATGACAAAATTGGCGGGAATATTTCTTTGCTGTTATTTCGCTCTTCAGTGGATATTTTCCTTGTGATTAATTGTTCTAATATTATCAATATGTAATATAAATGTTTAAGGAAAAAATTTCGATTTTTGAACAAATACTTGGCGCTTTGTTTCCTTTTCGAGCGGAGTATGGGTTTCCTGTGGTGGTACACGGAATCCAGGACGGAAGGACGGACGGAAACGTGCGTACGCGCGGGAACCCTGTGTCGGTCCATTGAAAATCGACTCGATGGTATACCATTTTTTCTTAGCTATGGTGGCCCGCGCTGGAGCTCCGCTATAAGTAATGTATACACTATGACCCGTAGCCGGCTACATGGCTACACCGGCTACGGGTCAAAATGAAGTGTCTGGTCTTCCTGTGTCTATTATATAACGAAGATACACTATGACCAAGGGAGCACGGCAGAATGGCTTTTGTACCTATTCATTTACGATCAAACGGCGCGGAACGATCGTTGACCTATTTTGAATATTTGAATGTTTATCCGCTGACCGTATGTAACGGATGTGTCATACGGTCAGCGGATAAACATTCAAATATTCAAAATAGGTCAACGATTGTTCCGCGCCGTTTGATCGTAAATGAATACTGTGAATAGGCACAAAAGCCATTCTGCCGTGCTCCCTTGCTATGACCCGTAGCCGGCTACATGGCTACACCGGCTACGGGTCAAATTGAAGTGACCGGTCTTCCTGTGTCTTTTATATAACGAAGTATACACTATGACCCATAGCGGGCTACATGGCTACACAGGCTACGGGTCCGCAAAATGAAGATTACAGTATTTGTTTACATTTCATCTTACTTTATTCATTCCTGTATATCTAACAGAGAGTGTATTTGTATTGACTATGTGCAGAATGATGGCTCATAGTATATGCAACAAACATGACACAGACCAGATAGTAAAGTTCCAGTTGTAAACCTTGCTTGGTATTGATATAGCATGTTTTAGGGTTCAAATTTTTTCTACTTTCACACAAAGTANTCGGCTTTTATTCTCTTTTTTAAGAACTCGAAGACAAACATTGAACGTTGTATTCCCCCTCCATGATGGAAAACAATGTGAAATGCAAAGATCAAAAATCAAGATCACATGCATGCATAATTAAATTCACGTGATTTGGAAATTTTTGTCACACATTATGTGTCAGTTCTTCCAATCACAAAGGCGTTCAAATCACTAATTTGCAACGTCATTGATTTTTGCCAAGAAAACAGTTCGGGCTAGTTGCGTATCGTGAACTCTGTCCACAGGTAGCCCAAGCACAGCACTTGTCGGCTTTTCTCTGAAGGTCTTATGGGGGGGAAACGAAAAATTCAATAAAAGTAGGAAATCTTAATAAAATGAATTCAAACTCACACAATAAGTTCTTCTTAATTTATTACACATTTGTGTTTTTCACACATTTGTGTTTTTAAAAAGGTGGAAATACCGTTCCTAAACTAAGTTGTGTGCTAAACCTCCTTCTTTTTAGTCATTTTGATGCTCTAAAAGCAGAAAACAAAACTGACCTAATTTGCATAATTTGGGACGGAAAAGCTTCTTCGCAAATCCAGTCGATTCCTCCAGAGTCTTTCCGGCGTCAGCATACCGCTGACATTAGCCGTGAAGACTCTGGGCTCGAGAATGGCTGAGAGTGCAAATGAAGTGACCGGTCTTCCTGTTCTTTTATAGAACGAAGTATACACTATGACCCGTAGCCGGCTACACGGCTACACAGGACGGGTCAAAATGAAGACTAGACGCTCTTGGAGCGTGAAGTCGGACTAGCTGCTTTTGAAAATTGAGAAAGACAGGATATTACATGGATAAAAATATTTCTTAATTTTTTTTTCCAAAATAGCCGAACACACGGTCTAAAAAGAGCGTCTAGTTCAAAATATGGAAAATTTATTGAGACTTTAAATAAACTTGGCCTAAAAGGTCATATAATCAATGCGATAAGAACGTTTTAAAAGAGTCCTTGCTTTGACTGATAAAATCAAACTTGCTAGACAAAATGTGGCTAAGTGATATCATGATATCTAATACGTTGACCTCTCAGGCCAAGAAAATAAATACTTTACAATACTAGTACGGAAAATACTTACAAGGAAAAAGATGCCTATAAAATCATTAAATTCGCCTTTCTGTTATTGATAAACAAAGTTTCTTCKTTTTTTAATTTGAAATCTTTGCCCACACAARACTGTCTAACACTAGAAAGGTCATTTATTCAGATTCCTAAGCATATACAACTCGAAGCTCCATGCGATCTGCACATGCGCGTACTATTGATGCCTAGACAGATGCATTCCGATGAGATCACAGATACCACATTTGTAAACGAATAGTTTTTTTATCACATAAAAGCGCAAGTAGCATTTAACATTTACTAACGATATTCGTACATCTATACATTTGAGCTTCCGGTGATGTAATAACATAGCCAACCCAATAGTTAATTATTAAATTCTTAACTTCCGGTGGTCCAAAYGCGACATGACACATAGATAGATAGATTGGCTAAAAGGTAAAACTCAAGTCGACCTAGCCTTCGGCTAGTCCGACTAATTACAGTATTTTTTCACATTTCATCTTACTTTATTCATTCCTGTAACATAAAATAGTAATATTGAAATGTCCAAGAATATTATTTAGTAATAGTCTAGTAAATGGATAAGAAAGTTGTTTATATACATATGTTGGTATCCCTGTGTATCTGACCCGTAGCCGTAGCCGCGCCTACAAGTGAGGGTTTGAGGAGGGTCTCAATGGGGTTGTGAGCCGTGAAACGGCTGAAAAATTAGTCGTGAGTCGTGAAATGGAGAAAAAATTAGCCGTGMGGCGTGAATATTTTTTATAGCGTGAGCCGTGATTCAGTTTTATTCTTCAGAAGGACAGTCAACTCCAGGCGCGCGATTGTAATTTTTTTTGTAAATTTACAAAATAAAAGCTCTAGTGGAGATTTTTTTTAAATTTTCCCTTGCAAGAATTTTTTTCGGCCCTTCGGGCCGTGCAAGAATTTTTTGCSAMTATCTTCCACTACCACCACCCCCTCAAAATTCAATGAATCACACCTACCAACAAGGTGACACTGCTCCAACGCTTACCATCTATAGCACAAAACAAATTACATGAAAAAGTAATGAAAAACGTTGTTTTCATTTCAAAATTTCTCAAAGTAATCTAGTTAACCGTGATTCGAAAAAATTAGTCGTGTCTCGTGAAATAGCCAAATTTTTAGCCGTGAGTCGTGATGCGTACTACCCCATTGAGACCCTCTTTGAGTGGCGGGGTATTCGATAGCTGCTTTTGGGGGGGTTTACCGTTACAGTTTCAACGCGAAAGTGGGTTATTTTGAGTTTGCCATAATCGTTTTAAATAACTACCAAAAGCCCACGAAATTCTTTGGTCATTGGTTCAGCTCTGCCGGCTAACCGAACGTGATGCTTAAACTCTGTATTAATACCGTCGTTACGTGCGCGTTGATCATTTTTGCGTCCATGTATCGTCGGGACACAATGCTACAGCAAAAATATTCTATATAACTAAAGTGCTTTGATTTCAGACGATTTTACTTTAATGTGGAATCATTGGGATAACAACCTATCAAATTAGCATAATGCCATTTTAAAATCAATCAATCAATTCCTTCTTCGTCATTCTGTGAATAACATTTAAGTGTTACTCTACTCGAGTAAACAAGAACTATCCAATATTGAAGAGAGAGTTGCATCTTTTGAAGCAAGCATTTCTTATGACGGATTTTTCTTTGAAAGGGTAACGTTTGTAGATAGCGTTCCAAAGTGTGTAATGGCTGGTCACGCCTATTCTTTTCATCAGAAAAAGTCAACTTCTTAATATAGCTAATGTTTGGTGATCGTATGATATGTGAAAACTAATTCAGTTGTTGCTTATGTGTACAAAATGGAGTAATGGATCAATGTAGTCAAAACTGAATTGTTGTTGCATTTTACGTTTTCAGTTTTTATCAGTATTTTACACCAGAAGTACCTCTACTTTTGTTATATACTTCTGTTTTTTCATACATCCAGTAAAGCTCAACTGTACAGCGATTGGCACTAGAGAAAACATCCCCCCTCCCTCCATCCTGGTGTTCAAATTTAGCGTCATCCTTTCTTGTTTTCGTGTCCTCATTTTTTTTTTGTTGTGTGCCAAAGAAAGTTTATAGTGTTCATCAGACAAGGTGAAAAAAGGGAAACATTGACTCTAAAATTGAAAGGCAAGAACGTGGAATATTAATGTGGAATCATTGGGATAACCACCTATCAAATTAGCGTAATGCATAAGTAGTCAAACAACTGTTGTTGCATTATATATATTCTACGATTATTCTACTGATGAGAAGTACTGAGCTTTATTCCGTAAAGGCCGTAAAGGCGGATAAATCAAAGACTTATCTCGCAAGATTTTTGGTGTTCAACACGGGAGGGCGGGAAAACTTCTTAAAACATGTTGAAAAGCAAGAACGTTGAGTGGTTTTGTATGTGGAATTTCTCAGCCTTCAAGGTAATTCAGTTTATTTTCTTTCTCAGTTATAAAGTTTTATCACAAAATAAAATACAAGCAGCCCTAGCTTGTCCAGGAGTGCAGGTTTTAAGAGCAATTATACAAACTTATATCATAATGAATTTACTGAAACTGATCGATAACTACTTGGTACAAACGACACATGTCAGTTCTAGGTCTTGTCTGTATGGACGACAAGGAAGGGAACCACAGTGACCAGACACAGGATACAGAAGAGCTCCATTGTGACTTGGTTTGCTTCCTGATACAGCCTCAGCATCTTTGTCTACACAGATATAAGCCCTGTTATTCTTGTGGCCATGATGTTCAGTCATCAGGTACCCATAATACTCTCTGGTCCACCCTGAGGGGCACTTGTAGGTTGCTGGGATCATCAGCTTGGAGCTTCGTGTCTTCACATAGCAGGAGACACAAGGGGC